ATGAATCTCCTCACAGGATCCTTGCTAATAGGTGTTAGCTGGATTAGAATCATAAATCATGGAGTGGTGTGGGTTGGAAGGGACCTTAAAGATCATCGAGTTCCATGGGCAGTGACACTTTCCACCAGACCAGGTTGCTCAAAGCCCCATCCAGCCTGGCCTTGAACACTTCCAGGATGGCGCATCCATGACTTCCTGGGCAATCTGTGCCAATGTCTCACCACCCTCAGAGTAAACAATTTCATGCTAAAGTCTATTCTAAACCTCCCCGCTTTCAGTTTAAAACCATTACCCCTTGTCCTATCGCTACACTCCCTCCCCATCTTCCCTGTAGGCCCCCTTTAAGAACTCGAAGGTCCCCTAGAGCCTTCTCTTCTCTAGGCTGAACAACCCCAACACTCTCAGCCTGTCCTCATAGGAGAGGTGATCCAGCCCTCTGATCATCTTTGTGGCCCTCCTCTGGACCCGTTCCAACAGGTCCATGTCCTTGCTGTGCTGAGAACTCCAGAGCTGGACACAGTACTCCAGGTGGGGTCTCACGAGAGCAGAGCAGAGGGACAGAATCACCTCCCTGGACCTTCTGGCCATGCTTCTTTTGATGCAGCCCAGGATGTAGTTGGCTTTCTGGGCTGCGACTGCATGTTGCCAGCTCATGTCAAGCTTCTTGTCCATCGACACCCCCAAGTCCTTGTCCTCAGGGCTGTTCTTAATCTGTCCTTCTCCCAGCCTGTGTTTGTGCTTGGGATTGCTGTGACCCAGGTGCAGGACCTTGCACTTGGCCTGGTTGAACTTCATGAGGTTTGCATGGGCCCACCTTTCAAGCTTCTCTGGGGCCCTCTGGATGGCATCCCTTCATCACAGTGTGTGAACCACAGCACAGAGTTTGTTGTCATCAGCAAACTTGCTGAGGATGCACTCAATCCCACTGTCCATGTCTCTGACAACGATGTTAAACAGCAGAGGTCCCAATACTGACCCCTGAGGAATGCCAGTTGTCACTGGTCACCACTTGGTCATTGACCCACTGACTGTGCCTCTTTTAAGTGTGACCATCCAGCCAATTCCTTATCCACCGAATGGTCTATCTGTCAAATCCACATCTGTGCGATTTAGAGTCAAGGCTGTTGTGCAGGACAGTGTCAAATGCTTTGCACAAGTCCGGGTAGATGGCATCTGTTGCTCTTCCCTTATCCACCAATGCTGTAATGCCATCATAGAAGCATTTGCCAGGCATTTTTTGCACTTAGTAAAGCAGTGTTGGCTGTCACCAATCTCCTTCTTATTTTCCATGAGCTTGAGCATAGCTTCCAGGAGGATCTGCTCAATGATCTTTCTGGGCATAGAGGTGAGATGGCTGGCCTCTAGTTCTCCAAAATTTCCTTTTTTTCCTTTTTTTTTTTTTTTTTAATGGAGGTGATGTTTCCCCCTTTCCAGTCAGTGGGTACTTCACCGGTCTATCACATCTTCACAAATACTATCAAAGTCCATTGGGACTCTTTTTTTCCATTGGGCAACAACTGTGTTGCTCACATGCCATCGATGAAATGGGAGGCTCAGCCTCTGCAGGAATTACTTTTAATGATCATTAAGTACTATCACATATAAAGCCAAGCTGTTTAGATGGTATAGGCCATCATCTAATTAAAGCAACATTTATGGACAACATTGTGAAATAACATGTGGCAAAAATGAAACTGTATAAGATTATTAGTGTTTTTTTCTTCCACCTAGTTTGCATATTTTACTGCAAGGAGAGAATTGTCTCTGGTTCCAAGTTTACATCTGACTTGTTTGGTTTGTCTGTTTTACTTGTCTTATGAGGTATTACCCTTACAAGAAAGAATCAGAAACACCTGTAGTCTGTTCCTGCAAGGCAGTGTGTAATGAAAATTTTTTTAGTTGAGGATTTAAAATGCTTTTAAAATTTGTCCTGACAAGCTAACTTGAAATGTTGTATTTTCCTTTCATTTGAGGATTTTTTTTATTTTTCAGCAAAATTGTTAAAAAAAGATTGATACACAGAAAAAGCATTTTGCAAAGCCAGATGCTTTTCAATTGAAAATTCCTGCAGAAACCCTTCTATGAATTTACGGGAACCTTAATCTGGTCCTAGCTATAACAGCTAATTAGTCTCGGAATAAATATAGCATGAGCACTCCATAATAGAGATGAGGCACAGTTATTAATTATTAATAGTCAATGCTGTAAGGCTGGAAGATAAGTACTCAGGGGAAGATCTTTCCTAAAACCTAAATTGAAATATGCAAACAAATATAGGGGTGGCTATTTTCAGAAGTACTAGCGATGACTAGGTGTTTATCTTCCCCTGACACTCAGAGAGCATTAAGCACCTAATTGCTGTGTCTTTGAAAATCTCCAAAAATTATAAAGTAACTGCCTAGTTTTCTGGAAGATTCAGCTGAATTGCCTACACGTTTGCAATCTTCCACCAACAGAATGTCACCACAGAAATTTGAGCTTCTAAAATCTGCTTGTCAGTTCCTTGACCTCCAAGTGAAAGTCTAGACTGCTTAACTGTGCATTGTCTTTTCAATGCATTTTTAACCCATGAAAGTCAGGTTGTAGTGAAACATGTTTGCTTTTGGACTTGCATTCCTGGGGGTTTGGTGCACTGCATGAGGAATTTCACCCATGTTTCCCCTTTTTCATTATTCTTATGGTGAATTATGAGGGTTTCATATTTGCAAATTAGCTTTTTTTACTTCTGACCTTTTGTTAGAATAGGTAATTGACTTTTTCAAATAGCTGTAAATGCTATTTGAAGCACCTGGTCTGTCCTAGTATTTCAGCCTGGCCTTTCAAAAGGAAATATCAAACCAATTGTGTTGTATTTAATACAACAAAATAGTTGTTGTATTAAAAAGTGAGATGACTTTTTACTCTCAGTTCCCTGGGAACTGTACAGCATGGCTCACTCTCCAAGCTCCTTTGAAACTGAATCTTCAGCTAGGATTGCCTTGATCCTGGCGGAGCTGGGGTAGGCATATGGATAAGTTAAGGAAAGTAAACTTGCCTGTGTGTCTTAACTAGTTTCCTATCTGTGAATTAATTCTGGGTTATGTATCTATAGAGTACTGCAGACTGTATCAAACTTCTTAAATTGCCTTACCTTTTTATGAATAACCCTCAACCCTGATTATTCAGGGAAAAATGCATAAATAATGTATCTGTGTGATCTAAAAAAGAACGAAACGAGCTAGATATTTCTGGTAAGTTGATGAATCAGTCATTACTTTCTCAATTCTGTTTCTTTCTTCTTTTCCCAAAAAAAAAGATACTGGGGAGAGGAAAGAGGTGAAGAAATAGATACTAGAAAGAAATTATTTACAGTGAGGGTGGTGAGGCACTGGAACAGGTTGCCCAGAGAAGTTGTGGATGCCCCATCCCTGGAAGTGTTCAAGGCCAGGCTGGATGGGGCTTTGAGCAACCTGCTCTAGTGGGAGGTGTCCCTGCCCATGGCAGGGGGGTTGGAACTCGATGATCTTTGAGGTCCCTTCCAACCCAAACCATTCTATGATTCTATGATTCTATGAAATGGTGTGGGGTTGGTGGTGGTTCTTGTTTGAAGTTTCGGGTAGTTGTTTTTTTTGTTTTGTTTGTCTTTTGAGTACCAGGGTTCTGTATCAGTCTTTCAGTGATAAGTGAACTTCAAACAGAAATGCATAGTACTGCTTATCTCCAATACTGCAGTAAACTATATGCAGGAGTTTCTGAGTAGCCATAGCGTACAAGCTGCAAATATTTGAAAATGTTCTTTCCAAGTTATTTGTTTTGTTGGAAGTGCTGTTCCAGAAAACTAATTTTCACTTATCCCTGATTTTGACTGAATTCTTAAGAAGTCATGATTTTTAAAATAATAATTTTCTCTCACCTTTTAACAATTCCTACAAAATATCTTCCCCCAGTCTTTCTCTTTAGTAGAATTACTATAAGTTATGAGAAAAACAGTAGGTGATATAGGATATTTAAAATAATACATATAGTGTAAAAAATGCTAAGTTTTCTTTTTGCAGTAAACAGTAGGTTTTTAGAGCTAGAATGAAAAGGGTTAAAAATGAAACCCCTTAGTACAAGGCCTTCCAGTGTTGATTATGCTTATTAAAACTGAATACTTTGCTTTTTGACCAGCTGCTTCTGCAGCACAAATCTCACATTAGTGTGGAGATTTTTTGCTTACAGGAAAAATCCCAGTGTTGGCTGTGGTCAAAAGTGGCACTTGAATATCAGCATGTTCTTTTGTCAATCAAAACATCCTCCTAAACATTTCAGCTAGTGTTAGCAGGGGATGTGCTAAGGCTCTTATCTAAAATGTGAGCTCAGCTTTTCGTCACGGAATATTTTCCAGGAGAATAAAGAAATTAAAGTTTTCCTGCTATTGCAGTCCTTCCCTGGAAAGTTATACACCAATTAGTAGGTGTCCATTCCTCTCTGTTGTGCATTGACTGTCTGCAGCGTAAACATTTCATGGAAAAGTGCATTCTTTTTCCCTTCAGATTTTTAGGTCTTGCTAGAAGAGAACAATAGCTTGTGTTCTGAGGGTGCTTACTGAGAATGGAGTCACATATTTATACATGCTTTAGTTAGAAGAACTGTAGAAGACAGCATTAATGAACAGATGATGTTAACATTTCTGAACAGTCTGACCTACTGTCCAATATGATCTTTCTTCTGGAAAAAAACAGCTGAAAGTGTAAGACTGAAATGTCTGCTGCAAACTTATAAATAGAACCTGTCTCCTTTAAATTTGTCTTTGAAATATTAATCTTATTTTTATCTCAACTACAAGCAGTGGTAACATCAAGCATGCTTACACAGTGCAATTCCAGTGTTAAAACAGTATGGAGGTGCTTTTTCCAGTTTATGTAAGTCTCAGTGAAACAAAAATCCTACTTCCTATTTTTGGTACCACATACATCTACAAGCATGTTGTTGTCTGCTGTGATCCATATTAACCTCTGCTTTCTGCTTTGCCTTTCCAGCACTGGCTTGAGCCCAACAAGTCTATCTTCAAGCAAATGAAATGTAAGTGCTGATAACTCATGTTTTTAAACTGATTTTGAAATGACCAAAGGTTTTCCTGTGCTTCCATGCAGTAATTTGGAATATGCTACATTTGTTTCCTGGTGCCAATAGGCCCTTCACATCCTATCTGGGGTCCTAAAAACTCCATGTTACCCTCATTTCAGTGTCTCACAGTGCTCTCTGCACATGAAGAACTTTCCCTTATTGCTCAAGGCTGGAGCCAGAGGCCAGCTGATGTGTGTGGGGTGGCAGATCTAGTGGGAAGACCTGTGTGTGCTACGTCTCATTTCCCATCAGACACAATCAGCCCCTGGGAGGTTGTGATAGGCTGTGGAGTGTGGCAGTCTGAAGCGGTGAGCTCCTGCCACAGGCAAGTGGAAAATTACAATTGTTATTTCAAAAAGGACTCCTCAAAATAAGAAGGTGCTTTTTGAATTATCTCTTTGAAATGTTATGGTCTGGCTCATCCTTTCCATTAAATGGGCCAACTGTGAAGACTTCTTCAGGAAGCAGAACTACTTCGGTACTCAGAAGTTTATATCCAGCAGCGGAAGAGCGTGTTTATTTGGCAGTTCTGGAGACTTAGTTTAAGCTAAGTACAAGGGGCCTTCTGTGTGGGAGGCAGTGTATTTGTTTTAAAATGTGATGAAGCTTAAGAGATTGTCTGATATGTTAAAACAGTTAATTCTGGGTGTTGGCTGGACTACATGGAATACTTCAAGAAATTCATCTATTAATGCAGCAGTAGCATATATTGCAGCAGGTGCATACATGCGCATATAAGCATGCACACATACACCTAGCATATTCAGTGTGGACTCTTTATAGGCTAGTGATTAGGTAGCTGGAGCGTTTTCTTGTGAAAAAATGAGTTCAAGAATGTCAAGCTAAAACTAAGTAGTGTGCAGTGCTAGTGAGGAAAGAAAAGAGGAACTGTAATAATTACAAATTATCTTTATCACTTTCTTCCTTCCAGTGCATTACCAAATGTAGAACAGAGTTTTCTCAAAGTATTCTCTAATCTACATTTATATCACTGCTTTTGTCCAACAAAGTGTAAGGGCTTATGCTTCTTTTTGCACTTTGCATAGCAACATGGTGAGGAACTCTGCAAACAGATGCATTCACTGAGCGTGTTTTGATTTAGTCAAAACAACTCTATCAGCATATAGATGTTGCCTAAATGTGACTGATGATACTCCATAAATTCCACAGATGTAGTGATGTAATCACTACAAGCCACACAAGCCCCTTGTGTGGCTTTTAGGATAGAATCCTGATCAAAACTCTGAAGACTGAAAAATGAAAGCATAGATAAAAAGCAAAATAAAATGCAATTAGTATGAGGTTATTTATCACAGTGAAAAGGTCTCAACAACAGCAAAAGAGAATGAGATGCTAGCAAAGGTGGTGTGTTATCCGCTGTAGATTTAGGACACAAAACTAGAATTAACCATGTGATTGGCTTTTCATGAACAACTTCAGTTTAATGCTGGTGTAACTCAACTTTATCTTTTGTTACAGATGAAGAACACTAGTTACTACAATAACCTTTAAGGAAACAAAACAAGGAGATAGATATAGATTTTATATGCATGTGTGGAATCCACGTAGATTATACGTAAATATATCTTTTGCTCCCACAGGTTTCAAGGACTTTTTTGTAAGTATTTCACATCAGGAATCACTTTATTTTTCTAAAAATATGCTATATTAATGTAGAATACTAAACATTTTCTAAAGACACAAGGTAATTTGTATCTTATCTAAAAATACTCAGTTTACTATGAAAAGGTTTAGACTCAGAAGAAGAAATTACCAATATGTATTTGAAAAGCATTGCAGTCTCAGGTGACACAAGCGAGGACTGAAATTAGTAGCAGGTGGAAAGTGTGAAAACTGAAGCAAGGAAGTGACTGGTTAATAGAACATACATTATGTATATGACTTCTGGAAGAATTGGTGGCAGAAAGCTATTCACAGTGACTATATTAGATTAGGAGTTAGATTAGGAGTTTCATTTTCTTTCTTTGTTATTAAGGAATTCAGAAAACAGTGAAATGATCTGTTTTGTAAGAATGGACTTTCATTTCCTCTGATGCAAGAGTAGGCTGTGTTAATACTAGTGGTTCAAAATGTTCTAAATTTAGTTTAATGCTCAGATTTACATAGGATTACAGAGCACTTCATGCATGCAGTGAAACTTAAAAATGCTGCATGCTTGATCTCAGCTACCATTTGTGGGGAATTTTATTTTCCCCCAGCACAGTAACAAGTTTTTCAGTGTATTTATTCATGCAGCTCAGTATTGACAAATATTCAGAGCAGAAAACAAATGACAGGGAGTAATGTTCTAATGCACATTTCAGTAGGTACTAGATCTCATGGGCCTCGCAGTACATGAATCATTCAAGCATAATCCCTCTATATAGTCAGTTGTACAGAAATCACAGTTTGGCAGTTACATGTTTCTGACGGTGGGAGAGAATGTTGTATGTTTGAAGCTCTGAAATCTGCAGAGCTTTTTGTGTGATGTGCTACCATTTTAATTTCTTTATCTTTGGCAAAGGTTGCTTTAATTTTGTATTTATTAATACTGGGATATGACATAAGGTATCTTCCAAAATATTTTCTATTTTGGCTTACCACATATGAAACCATATTTAAATGTGTCATATTTAAATGCAATACAGGAAGAATGAAGGCATGGCATCTTTTTTTGTCTTAGCATCTACCTTTGCATTTTCCATCTTCACTGGAATGAAGTGTATCATATGATGTGTAAAGTCTAGATCTGTGCCTGAAGCATTTTTACCACTAATTTTGTTTGAGGGGAAATTTTAGTCTCTGGGAAATGTCTTGAACCACTTCCAGTCTTGTTTGTACTGGTTGAAGCCAGGTGGTGGCCAGTGATCAGTAGCTGTGAGCACGATGCTTCCAATAGCATGTTGAAAAACTCTCTGGAAGGTTGCCTGAGGTAGCTGCATCTTTGTGGTTCTAGATAAAGACCTTTTTAAACCAGTTTTTCTGTTCTTTTGCATATTTTTGGGTACACTGTTATTGTCTCCCACACGCTGACAGTAAAGTTCCTCTCCATTTGTCTGTCTTGGGTTTTTTTTTTACTCATTTTCTGTCCAGGAATATCCTGGTGTAAATCCTACCAGTCCCAGCAGGACTGCTGCTTAAGTAAATAACAGATTTTTCCCATGCACCTTCCCTCTCTCTTTTTTCATTAATTTTAAAGGTTATTCTGTATAATAAGTATGCATCTGTCCTGTAACCAGCTTTGTGGTTATACCCACAAATATATAGGTTTTGTTCTTGATGACAGTGGAGCAGAATCAGTTCTGTTGCTTTGATGTGCAGGAGTTCAAAATTTGCATGTTTTTGTTGCTGCCTTGCATCTCAAATGATCTGAGGCTAAATTTGGGTAAGGTAGTGTAGTTCAGAGAGTATGTAACATCAAGGAGACATGTTGCAATGTTGCATTCTTAGGGCTATGAAGATAATTTAAAGATCTGCATTTGGCTTTCAGTATCACTCTCTACTCCTTTAATCACAAAACTCAGCACTGCCAGTACAGCTCATTACAGAAGCTAGTATTTGTGCTGGATGAAAAGCAGGTTGTTAAAAACAAACAGGAAACCTTTGCAAAAGTAGCAGCTAAGCAACTTCTGTCCTTCTCCCTCTTTGGTTCACACTTCTAAAACTTCAGTCAGGTTTTTCACCAGCTTTTAAAAACGATTATTCTTTTACATAAATATTTTTTCTTATTGTTTCAGATTGTCTTTCTATGAAGAAAATAATATGAATGTGTCGGTTTTCTCAGGCTTATCAGGCCCTATAAGCTCTTCATCTACACAGAAGACAAATGATTCAGTGGGCTTTGCTTAAAAACGAATGCACGTGAGACTCGGACCCTTACACATTGGTGTCTGCGCCAAGGGGTGCAGCACCCACATCGCTCTTTGTACTGGTGAGGGTGTTAGAGGTTTGTTTTTTAGCTAGGAGCTCCTTACTGTTTCTTGTACGCTGGCCAGTTTGTCTTAGTTAAACGCAACTGAAATAAACCTTAAAAACATACAATCAGTTGCCTGGAAACCTTCCACACTGTGTGTGTAGTTCCTTCATGAGGGTCTAGGTCATGACTGGTTTCAGCGTTTGATACCATTTGAATGGTTTAATTTGTTCTTTTGCCTTCATCTCGTATGTGCTGTTACCACATAAACTGGCAAATTGATAGGCCCATTGCAATGGAGTTTGCAGTCAGTACTATTCTCCACGCTAAAGTCCTTTGAAATTATTGTAATTGTGAATCTTTTTTAGTGATGAAGCAAAGGCTGTGATGGTAGGATATTCTGACAAAGCCTTGGGCATTTCACTGTAGCAGCTGGTCCTTATCTGACAGATAAAGGACTGCTCTGAAAGAAAAGGCTTATAGCTATTATAAAACAGATTATATTCAGGCTAGTTTTGCGTTGAAGAAATGCTCTTCTGCAAATTGAGTTCTGTTTTGGGAAGGTTTGTTGTTAATGTTTCCACTTTAATGTGTGAGTAAGTGGTAGAAAGTAATTTTGCTTTCAAGGAATTGAGGAATTGTCTGGCTTGACAGTCTCATCTCTTGAGCTGATACAATTCACTGCTTGTCTTGCTTTCCACTTAAATAATATTGTGAATTAGAGAATGTGAGGTTCTTATGCGTGTTTCTCCAGTGCTGTAAAATGTATAAAACAAAGGCCTTACTTAATGTTTACCTATCATCAAACACGTTTTTGGAGGAGCATTAGGCTTATGATCCATTTCAAAATTAAGACGGAGAGGAAAGTGAATAGCTGTGGGGGTTTCCTCCATCCCGTTTCAAATCTTCATTGTTTGCGGCTGGTTTTCTAACTGAGGAAGAGGAACAGAGAAAGAGGACCCTGTTCCCTTCTGTAATTGCAAGGTACCTTCTCATGTCATCTCCAGAGATAAATTGGATGGAGGGGATCATACTATTTTTAACATTTCCAGTTGCAGGTCCGGGTTGTGCCCTTCCTGCAGGTGTTGCTGAGAAAGGAGCTCCGTTCAGCTGGCTGCAGCGGCCTTGTTTTGCGGTGCTTGCTGCGCCGCTGAGGAGGAGCGTCCTCACAGAGGCCCGAGCCCAGGAAGAGGTTTGCAAAGCAGGCCTCAAACCGAGGCCTACGCCCCTTGCCAGATCTATTTTGTGCATTGGTGTATGCTTCTGCCACACACTGCCCTTCTTCCACAAGGAGAACATTTCCTATTATAACCTTTGCTGTTAACTGGATGTGGGCTGTTTTTGAAGCGCGGTGTATGCCATCCTTTCCTCACTCTGATACTCTTTCCGTATGGGTCAGCTGTTGCTTTTATGTGGTGGCCACATACTGCCAGAGTGTGGCTCTTCTACTGTAACTTTTACAGGGTTTTTTTTCCTTTCTTTTTACCACAGCCAACGTTTCAGTCATTGACATCCAAAAATTTGCGTAAAATGCAGTGCATTTTTAGGGCCATGGAGTAGACTTGTACTATCTAGGGCCCTGCAGAGCCATGTGCTAGCTTTTCTTATTTCTGCGTCACTGTTTCAAGCACAAACTACTTCTAAATCACCCAGTAAATTTAAAAGTCCTTTTTTTTTTTTTTTTTTTTTTTTTTTTTTTTTTTTTTTTTTTTTTTTTTTTTTTTTTTTTTTTTTTTTTTTTTTTTTTTTTTTTTTTTTTGTCTGAGGAAGAGCTCTTGCTCATTTAGTACAGGTTGGCTCTTCTATTATGTTTTTTAAATGGAACTGTATTCTGAAGGTGCAAGTTTTTCTCCTTTGTGTAGTTTTAAGAAAGCTATTGAGAAGAGATAGAACCATTTAAGGTTACTTATGTTATCTTTTACTTTGTCCAGGCAACATGACTTCTTAGTGTATTACTGGATGGCTGTTTTCGTTTCTGGGACACTGAATTCAGTTTACCTTCCAGTTTACCATTACAGGGCAGGGAGGATATAAGAGTGTCCTCTGTTTTGCAGCCGCTTTCCAGTCACTGTAAGACAATGCTGCAGACACATCTGAGAAGCTGAAGCCCAGGGAGAGCAGTTTCTCTTGCCTTCAGAGGACTTGTACAGATTTGATTAGATTGAATGTTTAGACCATCCCTAGAAAACACTTAAGGCATGTTTTTCTTTCTTCATTTCCTCGTGTTTGTTTCTATTTGTTACTGTTTCCTTGCTTGCTTTGTTTCTGTATTTTTCATCTCTCCATCCCCATCTCTTCTGATATTCCTCCTTGCATCTTAAATGGGTAGTTATTTAAACAAGCAAAAAAATGTGAAATCAGGAGGTTTTGTTGAGGCTGACTGTACTTAAAAAGTGCAACATGAGATCTTGAGAGGGGAAAATATTGCTTCATCTTCAAAAGCAGTTGAACCATCCAAAAGATACCAACCATAACAAAAGATGTAATGCATTTTTATTTATTGTTGCTTTTGTACATTACATGGAACTATGCGATATCCAGAGATGTATTTCTGGAAAACTACAGCATACAGGTAAATACTGCAGTGAAAGTAGCTTCAAGAATATAATGATTGTTGAACTAATTTCCACATGCAGTTTATACAAGTAAGCTTGAGGAGGTGGTAGAGTAAAAGGTTCTGATAGCTTAGTGATTGCTGTTAACAGATTACAACAACTGAAATGTGATTCTGTGTTTCACCTGTTCTCTTCCTCCATTTTCACTGTAATTTCCTTTGCCCTTTTTCTTCTGACTTCCCTTCTTTTGCTCCTGTAAAACCACCATCTCTTCAAGATTTAGAAAAGTTAGATTGACCGTGTGCATTGAGTATACATTAAGACTAATGGACTTTTAAAACTAACTAGAATATAGATCTGTACTTTACTATGAATTAAAGTTTCATGGACGCTTCACTTTAAAAAAAACAAACTAAACCCACAACCCCCCAACTTGTTAAAATTAAGGGACTTTAAATGTTGAGTGTGCAGAAAGTTAATTTCATAGTTAAATATTTTAATAAAGGGATTAAGAATCTGCATTTGGGTCCATAGGACACTCCCAAATGAGCACAGTGATCACAAGTTCCTATTTTGTCTGAAGCCTCAGCTTTTCCTCTGTTTCTGTCCATTGAGAAATGTCTCTGCTGGTGAACAATTTGCTACAGAGGATCCTTGCATGGCTTACTGTGCCTTGCTGCTTGGATAGCAGTTCTGCTTCAGTACTTGCTCCTTCTCTGCGCATTCTCTTGGTGTTACCAGCAGGCCTGCCAGTTACCATGGCTTCTGGAATACAGGTGGGGGTTTTCTCCACACCATTTAGCTTTTGAAGATGTGGTATTTTCCTTCTCACTTTGAACTGAAATTTAAAACATGAACATTACCTGGATACAGATAGCTCTGAGGAGTCTGCCTAGCTGTGTATTGTGCCTGATGTGGTATTTTTAAGCCTTCTACTTGGTTTTCACAGGTCTTTTATCCTAACATGATTATCACAATATGCTTCTTTGATTAGAATAATAGTCTTTGATTTGCTTTCTGTCCCTCCTGTAATCACTGAAAGATCACTGGTTTAGGATTAGATAATATCTTGAATGCTATTAAAGATACAACAGTGGTGTATAAAACTGTGTTCATTAATGTAAAACCAAGAGATGCTTTCTGATTGCAGACTTGAAATCATTCCTATTACCATTATTTTCTTTCGTCCTTTCTTTTTTTTTTTTGGTGAGAAGTGAAAGTATTGTACTTAAGGCCTAGTATTGATCCCGTAGCTTAGGAGTAGGTAAATACTGGAAACAAGCAGTTCTGTTGTCTTAAGCTTCATTAACCAAACTTCATGGTTTCTTCTATTTTTAAGTCTAGGCATTATCTTCATCAGGAATAAAAAAATATACATAGCACCTTTGTATGTCATTGTAACAACACGCAATTGCTCCTGTTTATCTATTGCCAAAAAAAAAAAAAGGCAACTGAAATGTGTTTTGTACTTCTTGGATCAATAATAAGTTTTATGAGGTGCAAAAGCATTTATAAATTGATTTGCATAGGTTAGCTGTATTTTGCATGTGCTTTGGCCTTCTTCTTTGTATGTTCTATTCTTTTAATGTGTAAGTATAATATTTATTGGTTTTGATTGAATCCCTGCCTGATGCTTCAGAACTAACTGTCACACAGACTATTTTTTAAGACACTTGGAAGCCACTCCTTCAGAGTGACTGAGGCAGTGTTTGTTTCCTATTATTCTCACACTTTTTCTTTGTCATATTTCAGCTCATCCACCATATACCATGTGCTTTAGAGTGAAATTCTACCCACATGAACCCTTGAAGATTAAAGAAGAGCTCACCAGGTATTTTTTTGTATATTTGTTTATGCATTTAATGTACATCATTAACAAGTTTAAAACAAAACACTTTGTTGCGTAAGGTAAAATACTGGACTAGACAGACATTTGCACTACTGAGAGCTTGTTTATGTATTGTGATACCTATGGATATTTTAAAGCAGTTTAAGGGGACTTTTCTGTAACATATAGATAGGTAGTCATGCTGTTGAAGAATTTTGAGAAAGAGAGGCAACAGTCACATGCCTCGGCAAGGGTGTTCTTGACTCTTTCGTTAGCAAGGATTGTGGTCTTGAGTAAGTTCCTTTTGTGTCATAGTTTTTCTTTTTGTTGTGTGAAATAAGCAGTGAAGTGTACTTCAGTAATGGCTCTCTAACTCTTTCAACAGGGGACATTATTAGCCTCACTGAATTTTTTTGTGTCTGTCTTTAGGACCACAAACAAGATAGTATTTTTAAAGTACTGATAGACCTAACTGACAGACGAACTGATGTAAGGTGCAATATTTTCATATTTTTGAAGTACAGCTGCTCTGGAGGTTAAGAAGTCTTGTTGCTTACACTGGAATTTTCCAGCCCTTGCTATGAAAAAACACCTGTGCAACCGATCAATCATATTTAACAAGTGGAAGCTTTGTCCTTCCTGCTAGCCATTGTGAATATTGGGTTGCTCTGGGTATTTTTCAGGAAGTGTACTTGGGGGAAAAGATGTAGGAACGTTACAGCTCTTTTGACCTTTGCACCAGCTGTGCAGCACTGTACGTATGCTGTACCACGTTAGTCAGCAGGTCACACCGCTGACTAATAGTTGCATATTGCAGAAGCAACACTTGTTGAACTTTCAAGTTCAAGTGGAACAACAAGTGTTCTCCTTGAACACTTGTTGCCTTGAGTTCTTCACTGATGCTTTCCCTAAGCCATGCAAATTCTTGTGCTCACGAATCACTTCACGACTGCGAGTGATCTTATTATCCTTGGTCTCGTACAGAAAGTTTCAGCAACAGCTTGCATTCTGCTGAATGGTAAGTTTATAGTTTGTATAGAGCAGCTGGAACATGCAATTCATATTATAACTGTTTATCCTGGGTGAAATACTAAAACTGTTAGCTAACAGGTTGTAAACCAGGAAGTCAAGGGATGTTCATTATTTGTTAGTGTTTGTCCTTGGATGAACGTTTTACTTTTTATGAGCCCGAGTATAAACTTCATGTAGACCTTCCTCATTCAGGAGTCTTAATTAATTGATTTTTTTTCCCTGTTAATTACTTGGATACCATCCCAGGAGAAGTTTTATTGAAATGCAAAGCATCTAGAATTAGCTCACTGAAGTGTATTGTGTTGTCAGTATGTTTTAGGCTTTAATGGAACATTTCAAATTAATTTTTAAAGTCAAGCTGCAGCATGAAAAATGTTTTACTGTCTTTTGTTAAAACTAATACTATTAAGACCTTAAAAAGGATAAATATTTTCTCTTTTCATATGTCCACCCTGTGCTTATCGTACTTTTTTGTATCTGATCAGCTTTATAGTTTCTCAGTGTTGCTATCTGGGAAGCTTTGCTTTGTCTCTACCCAAGTCTCTTACACAATAACAAAGTAGGGGAAATGCTCCTGAAATGAGCAAGTGAAGAGTAGTCATGGAATTCACCCCTGAGAATTTGCGTCATCATCTAAAGCAGTGGGTCATATTCAATCTGATGCTATAAGTTGGCTTGACTTAAACTTTTTTTTTTAATTGCAATGATTGGTGAAATTCAAGAGGAAAAAAGTCCAGTAGTATTGGACAGAAGGCAGCCATGAAACTTTGATAGCTCATTGGCTTTTTGGTAGATTTTTTTTTTTTTAAGCTCAGCTCTATTTACTGGCGAGTCACTTTTGTTGCAGCATTCATTTAAGAAGATTTGAAAATAAATTAATAATATTACCACCCTTTGACTTAAAAAGCCATCTGTAGTTCATAGCTGCATGTAGAGTCAGCTGAGTCAGAGTAATAGTGTTTTGCATTTCTCCTACTTTCCGTGCCTAAGAATGTCACAGAGTTGCTGTTTTCTTCAACTGGGTAGAAATCTGACAAGTATCTGTAGTCCCCATTAGGATAATGAAATTAAGATACAGTAAGGCTCATCCTGTCATATTGTCATACTACTCTTTGGTTCAGAATATTAATTAACCCTGTCTAAATCCCCCATGTGGATTATTGTCGATGCAGTCTTTGTAAAAGCTTTATAGGCATAAATCTTTAATGAAGTACCATAGAGACATCAAAGAGATGTACAGATGTTGAAAAGAGCTGGTTTTCCTGCTTTTCCATGGCAATGTCTGATGTTAAAAAATTATCATCTATTCAGTACATGAAGCTGTGTGTGTATGTAGTAAATTGTTTGATTTCTGTGAAAATAGTATAACATGGACAGAAATACCATTCAGAATTTAGATATCACTTACAGGAAGAAAATTGAGTATTTGTCACCTCAGATTACTGCTGCTTCATTTCTGTCCTACCTTTGGTAGGCTGGGCTGGACTGTAATCCTTGAGTTAGTCTACGGTTTTACAGGTGGAACTATTTTCAGGAAATTAAGTTGGAGAATGACCTAGCTGAAGTCATCCCTCTGTCTATGATATTATAGAAAAAAAAAAACCCAACCATAAAAACCTGAAAATGTGTGCACACTGCATGTTCAGAGGCCAGGAGTGCCCTGGGCAAAGGATCGAGCCATGTGCTTGCCTGTCACTGCGTTTTGTTCCACTGCTAAGGACGTCTGTGAATATCATCAGTCACATCACAGTGTTGCACCGGCTTGCTTTCATCTTACTTCATTTTAATTAACAATTGCTTCCAAAGCTATGCTTTTGAAATAAAATCAGTGCCTGCCTTGGGATGTTAAGGCACTTTGAGATATTATTGCAAAATAAGGAATTCCATGGACTCAGGACAAAATTCACACCTCTTGCTGCAGAAGGAGGTTCTGTGTGATCTTTGATCACCATTTTCTCTACAGCCGGCTGGCATTAGGGTTGCAATTCACAAGTTAACTTCAGTGGCCATGGGGGTTGTCACCTTGAACTCTCTTGTGTCTGTATTAACAGACTCCAGACTCCTTGAAACACAATTTGTCAAGAAGGCCCAAATCTTAATGCACTTCAGTGCTTAACGTTCTTAACTCATCTCCTTAACTTGTGTCAACATGGATTTAGATCCGTACTTATTTTTCAGAAATACTGCTTCCTCAGCAAGACAGCATACATGTTTGGAACATATTTGAGAAAGACTAAAGACATATTTTTTAATAGTTAAACCAATCAGGCAGCTTTCCCAATGCCTTTTAAAAATTGTGATGAGAAAGTGTCAAGGATTTAACTTCATTTCCTCGAATGATTGGCCTTCTGAGTTTATTTCAGGTGCACTGAAGGCTCAGCAGATTGCAACATAAACAGTGATTTTGAATTTTTGGGCAGTTTGTGTAATCTTTTAAACAGAGAGAGGTGCTCAACCTTAGTAGAAGAGTGACGTTCCTCTGTGCTGTGGCCATCTCTGAGGGTTTGACTTCATGTGTAGTATCTGGAGGACGTCAAGCTCTTCTGAATGATGCATCTGTGGCTTTCTAGATCTGATTGTCTAGCACTTAAGAGATGACATGAAGCCAGAACAAAGTGCTTCAGTTTCAGAAAAGGGCATTTAACTGGCTTCACTAAGCATCCCTAATGAGAGTAATAACTACTAGTTTTAATTAGGCAGTAGCAACATGACAGGCAGGTCCTCAACATCTCCCTTGTTCCCTGCCATGCATAAACATAATTTTGGTTTCTTTTCTTGTTAAATCAGCGTCTGCTCTGCAGCCAGTTTTCTAGCTGACACTACACAGGGTTTGGGTAGAGGCCTTGAATGCATAAATTTTCAGTATTACTGCTAGTTTCCTTCTCTCCTTATTTTCTTCTTTTTCATCTTTTTGGTGCATTCCACTTGTTTTTCCAGAGAGCATGAAAGGCTTGATGATGAGAAGGGGTTTTCTTTAGCTATGTGCATGGAATCACCTGCAGAAAAAAAGCTATTTATTCCACTATGATGGTCAAGATTGTTCTGCTGCCGTGTCATGCAAAGATATAAAATTGCCATGAAGGAAGTTGTAACTGCAGAGATCATTTATTCTGCAGTACACACAGCATCCCACTACACTCTCTGGAAAGCACAGGTAGTTTTGCTCTGTGCCTGTTTTCACTGTGCTTTGATCACAGGTCAGAGCCCTGGAAGTGTCCACAGCCTGAGATGCTGCGTGTGAACAGAATGGGAACAGTCAGGGAATGTGTACAGAAGGATGCAAAGGCTGGTCGCACTTCGGCACAGATTTTTACTATGTTACAATTTTTCAGTGTTCTTGTTTAGGTAATAAATAAATCAGTGGGTTTTTTTCTTACGTAATAAAGCAGCCAAAGGCCTCATGCCTTCTTAATCTCCAAATCCCTGCATTACACTATGTATGTATAATTAAAATGGGAGAATATAAAGTCATTTGAGGTCCCAAAGGAATGATCTAAAATGCTAGAGATAATACTGTATCAGCAGTAATCCATGATTATTGTAAAAAAAAACCAAAGAAGAGTGCATGGGTGAGTAGCTGGCAGAATTAACCAAAGGTGGATTATTTCAACTAGCTTTCATCATGCACTTTTTTCCTAATCCGTGTTTCCTAATCAAGAAATTCTTCAATCACTGGGCTGTCATAAAACAGTGTAATGACTACTTTGATGCAAGAAAAGCAGATAAAAAACATTTAACTGGAAGTCGCATGACAAAAACTTGGGGTATGTAAACGTGGCAAATTCAAGAGTCCTGAGTGAGCTAGCTTGGCGAGAAAGAGCAATATAGCTGTATGCATGCAATGCTTGACTAGCCCTGTCTCAAACATATGTACTTTATATTGCCTTGTACTAAAATAACCGTCTGGTGCTTTTCTCTCCAGAAGTGGGAGGCCAGCTGAGACTGATAGTGTTCCAGCTGGTTGTTAATAC